TTAACAAAAAGTTTATATTTAATTGTATTTTTAGAAAAAGCAATTTTTTTAGTTACAGTTATATTTATAACGATTCACAGTGAAGAGCAAAACGGTATTTTTATGTCCATGTGTCACAGTTATCTTATCTATCGTTGTCATGGTATAGCAATAAGGGTAAACAAGATTCGACTTGAAAAGCGAAAATATTTATTAAACTAAAATGACTCCAGACTCACGCAAAACGTAAATCGAAGCACAGTAGCTCAAATATTCGTTACAGCATTCTTCCGTATAATGATAACGATAGAAATTTCAATTTCTTTTTTAACTTACCTAGAAAAGAATTTCTCTCCTTAACTAGGGCCAAAATTTGCACCACCGTAGCTTACCTTGATATAAATGAAATCCGAAAATAATTACGTATTCTTCAACTTTTGCGTATTCTATACTTTATTATTCAATATAATCTGGCAGAGTATTTGACAATTTGCCATACGTTCACTTATTAACTGCTATATTTTAGTTAAAACATCCATATATTTTCAAACTGTGCAACATTCTCATTTGCATAAATTTCCAATTTTACATCATTAGTCGAAATGTAATTTTCGGATGCTTGTTCAATATTGAAATCTTTTTATTTCTGTTGTGTATATTCTGCATATTTCTGTGCACGCAAATGGACGTGCGCCAAGAAGTCTGCGTTAATGCACAAGTTCTATTATCTGGAATCAACCATGCATGATGGCAGTTCGAACTTCTTTTTTATAGTCTGTTTATGTTTGATATAATCGTGGTCAAACGTGACCAAATCGACATCGTTCTGATCAATAAATATCGCCATTTCCGGGAAGATGCTTACGTATATTTGTTACGTCACAAAAAGGTTTGTAAATACGTGCTAGAATTGTTTTCAACTATATATTTTGATAAATTCAGCGCTAACTGAAACATTTTAATTATTTTTGGTACGTCGATGTGATTCGATCTATACTGTAGTAATACAAGTGAAGTAAGGAGCTAAATGATTAGCCTTGGCACTTTAAAATTGCAGCAACCGTTATTGACAGGAAAGTATATGATTCATTGAGAGCTATATATTGTTTAGCGGTTATTGTTAGAAAGAAACGGCAGGAATCATGCCAAGATTTATGTACAAACTTATTTGAAACTAATCTAGAGGTAGTGACATCGTCAAAGTTTCGCAACATGGTGAAAATATTTTGCTCAAATATGCAAATTATATTAAATACCATTGTTACGTACAGTTGGCATAAATATGGAGTAACTCATTACCTAATTGTTATGCGGCGGGAAAGTTTCGAACCCACTGTTCTTGAAGTATGTTGCTTACTAAATAAGATTCGCTTTTCTTTAGTTACAAAGACCCACCAAATTGACTATGCCAAGTGAAAGATTTCCCAGCAAAATCGATAAGTGTAATATCAAAAACACCTAAATCTTGAATGACGTAAGATCATTTTCTTCCATTGATCAATTAATTAATGAAGATGCCAATGACGTCACGGTAATTTAGATGTCTTTGTTCCTATGGTGACGTATTATAATTATAATTTTCGAAAGTGAAATGTTTCAAGGAGAATTATTCTTTAAAGTCATTCAATATTTGAATAAATTCATTTTCCATATATGTAGATAATTTGTATTATACACGGGAATTAAATATGAATCTTATGATAGGACTCCATTTATTGAAATCGCCAAAATTATTTAGGTTTATTTAGGACAGAAGGACAATTAAAGTAATATAAGACTGATTCAAGATAATATTTGTAAATAGTTCAAAAAGTACAAAGTACGAAGAGAATAGTTATACTTTGATATATGAAGATCAGTGTAGTAGTCTCGGGAAATAGCTCAAGTCAAAGAGTAATTAAATTTTTAAGAGGGACCAGTTCTGACATATTTATTAGATAGTGTATTTAGGAAAGTAGGTAGCACACAGTACCAGAAAACACATGAATCTGGCACAATAGTCTTTCACATAACAAACACGCGAGAAAGTTCACAAATATCTGAGCTTCAAGTTGATGTGCTGCAGATAATATTTATTGCGAAAATTCAATAATAACAATATTTGACTAAAAATTTAGTCTTACAATTGATTGTAGGTATTACTGGAAAGCGTTTATAGTTTTAAGAAATTCCATATACTGGTGCGATATTCCAGGCTTACATTTGAATTTGGAACTGAAGATTATATTGTTTGAGGTTAAAGAATTTTGGGATGTTTAATGCACTTAACATGGCAATTCGTGTAATTGTAAATATTATATTATAACAATTTCGAAGTGTCTGATTGATACGAAAGTTTCGAATGTGAAACTGCTGTATATACTAGAAACAGTTTCTCGCAGAAGTTTAGAATCAAGAACAATATTGTTTAATAAATATAAAATACAATATTTTTAAATGTACAACATAATATATAATCTTTTCTGAATTCATTGGAAAGATTTGTTTTAAGTCCTTAGGCTCATTGGGAAACTTTAGTTCCGATTTTCAACCGTTGTCCTGCATTTTATCGTGTAAGTTTTGGCATTGTTCAATTGACTATAGGTGGAATCTAAGTATACTTAATAACTGGTTCTGAACATTCATAGTTTTTATTTGTTTTAATTTAGCACGATGCGACCATGGACACAACACGTTCAGTAATATTAAAATTTGATGATATCTTTGCCTGTTGAAATAATTTTTGGATAATCAAAGCAAGGTTAAATATATGGAGCTATAATGAGTACTGATGAAAAGTTGCAGGTACCATTGACACTAATGCTAAATATAGGCTTAGCATTGAGACACAGATCACAATAGAGAACATTTTGAGATTTCGATTTTGATAGCGGTATAGATATTTAAAAAGTATAGTATTTAAAAAGTATATCATAATTTAACAAGTAAACTCGAAAAGCGAATCTGACAAGAGGATATTGTTTACTTACTTTTACTTGCATACTTTTATTATTTGTAATATAGCGTAAATTTGTGTAGTTATATATTTAATAACATACTTCGTACAGTGTGCTCAAATATTGATCAGTTTTTAATTTCCCTGCATAGCATTATAATGAGATATTTCTGGTTTAATTACTTAATACATCTTACTATTTTTAAGTTTGTTCTTCGAAACTGTTTCGTTCCAAAATCAATTCAGACTTAATTATATTGACTGTGTATGCATTAAGCTTAGACATAAAACATGTAAGAGAATATTAAAAATTTGTACAAATAGTAAACGAAGTACAATGAAATGTTAAGGGTCATCCATCAGAAGGTCAAGTAGGCATATTATGTTGAGTTCGAAATATTGTTTATTAGTATAAGAAAACTATATTTTGAGTACGTAACTATAATTTAACAGTTCGAGCGAAATTTTTTTTATACAGAAAGAAAGTAATTTACGACTTGTTTGTAAATTATTAATTATTTGCGGATACTGCATAGTGGGTACATTGATTTTGAGTTTTTGTTTTTTTCGAAGGGGCTAAATTTTCTTATTATGATATAGTTCATTGCAATACAATTGAAAATGCTAAAGTAGATTGTTGCTCCAATGAAAATAAATTTTTGCTCAGAATACAACAAACATATATTGTTGTTGTGTATTGGGCACAGTTAAATTATTAAAATGATAGTTATCGAATGAGCTGACGACCAACCAACATATATAAATTTATGGCTTAGAAATATAAACGTAAAATGTCCATCAGGCTCTCTTTAAATCGTTTTTGAGGTTTTGATAGTTTTCGTTGTTAAAAATAGTTTTTTCTCAACCCTGGGCCCACTCAAATTTTTTTTTTTCAATAAAGATGGATCAAGGCGTTAGAAGGCCACTTTGCGGGTGTGATGAATTCTATATTTCACCCAATCATTTTGCTGATTTATTTTTATTCCAATTTATGGCAACATTTTTTTATGAAATATGAGAACAAACAGTTCTGATTTCGTCACGCTTGTCAGCGATCTTTTTAGCTGAGACCTGACCTAAGCCGTACCGATACCCGACCTTCGTATCCAAATATTTGAGCAATATTTTCTTTTGGTATTAAATATAATATGGAATAAATATATTAACGGCAAATATGAATGGTAAATTATGATTGGCTCAATACCTATTACCTACATCAATTTCCGTGGAAATTTTCGATCAATGAATAAAATTACGAAACTGAATATGGTGACAGGAAAAACCCAAATGCGGAAATGAAGATCAATATTGCGACTTTGTTCCTAAAAAGTACGTCATGTACCTTAGCATTGAAGTAACTGACACGTTACTTGGTTCTTGAAATCTTGATTCGTTTATTGTTATGCATTTGTGTTGAATCGGATTTGAGCAGAAATTGTCCAAGCTTAAACTATCATATAATATGATATAGAGAACCCATGCTTTTGTCAAATGGTTCGAGCAAAGATAGAGTTTCTTTATCATAAAAACTTGAATTTCCGGATTGATGTACTCTACCAAGTTTATTTCTGCGTGGGTGAAGTGGGTGGGTCAAATTATTGATTTTGACTGGAAATTTTTGAGCCATTTGGTAGCAAAAGTCTCTCGAGGTATGATGCATGTCGAGGATAATCTATTCTGTAATATTTATATTTATATGTCAGACACAAATAAATATCAACTGAACACATATTTAATAGCTTCTGCTTTTAGTTTCTGAGTGAAAGCGCAATTGAGGCCATCGAATTGCCTACCTTCATTGACGCCATTAATTATAAAAGCAAGGGTAATTCCAAACTCAAATGTATAATTTTCCACTGTGCAAAACAATCAGACACTTTTATATATATTATAATATATAGTCTTATAGGGGAATATAGTTTTTTATATATATTGGGTTACAAGTAAATAAAATTTTTGTTAATTTTAAGTAAAATCATACGACAAGAATATCTTAGAACATTAATTTTATAATCAAGCATTTATTTCAAATGCTGAAATATTATAATTGTGTAAATATATTTAACACATTTTACAGATTTAAAAATAGAAATTAATTTTTCACTTATATTGTACTCGAAGCAAAGATTTCTAGAGATGCTACGTTTTCTGTAAGTATAAATTTTATTATTACTTATCCCCGGTGTTCTACTAAAGTACGCTGTGTCCAAATAAACGTGCATTTAGCTTAACCAACTTCCATGTATTTATTGAAACAACCTTAAAATTTTTTATGATATACTGACGTAACAACAACTTACTTCATTAATTTTAGAAAACATACTGTGCAAAATGGCAATGGGGTGTAAGAAAGATGTCTCTTATTTTTACTAGATGTATATGAGATATTATTTTATAATAATTGATTTATTTAGTGATCATTCTGGTCAATAAAAATAAAAATATTTGACGACTTCAATATTTAGATTACACTCTTTCATGAGCTCTTGTGAATGAAGTTTTTTTTATTTGACGAAACTTGGAAATGTGTGTTCAAATTATTTATTCATTATTGAGGTATTTTCACTATTATGAAATTGATTTTAAACAACTTTCGCCACTCACGAAATTTATTTGATCGAGACATTTTTCCTGCAATGTGTACCAAATTCGGACAATCGATATATATTTTGATATAAACTACCTATAGGGATTTTTAGTTCTTTTTAGTTGTTACGTCAATATATCATGAAAAACCTTTAAAATTGAAAAACATAACTTTCCCCAACCAATGATGATCATCACTCTATAATATTATTATAAATCCTGTGAGATTTTACAAGGTTTGCATTATCCAACCATAGAAGTAATTTTCAAATTAACGAAAGAAACTTATTAAACCAACATGCAATATATAATATATCTGTTGTATTGGAAGTGCATGGTGTTTTTATAATACATTAATGACTATTTCTAAAATTTGTTTTCAAATATCGGAATTATTTACTTCGAAAAATAGAACTTTTATACCGTACAAATAAGGTCGCGGAAAATAGTCAGGTTCTATTTTATATTTCTAATTTTTCAAATTCGTAATACATGCACACATTCAATAAAATTAAATAAATTAAAATAACCATATGTTAACATAGTAAATGTAAACTCTCTTAACAACCCACATTCCCATGATAAAATATTCAGTTGTGTCAAGTACTTTTTCACTGTCTTTTTAACAGTTAATTCATTCATTTATGAAAAAATTGTATCTCAAAAATTCCAGACGTTGCTTAATACATCATGTTATTAAACTTTAACATTTCTAGACAGACCATGACTTAACAAATTTAGACGGTCTATAGTTGTCTATAAATAATATAAACAAAATATTAGTAATATAATCAATATTGGAGGTATCAGAATGTCAAATTGGTATATTTATATATACGAAACTTAGAATCGTGAATCTGTGTACTCATTTGATTAATGTTGCCAAATACGTGGTTAATTTATGCGTAATTGTATCTTTTAAATTTACTACTTTAGTACTGTATACGCTAAAACGTACCCAGTTTTTTTTTTTTTTTAAAGCTGTTATTATATTTTGAATACCAAATTAAAAACTATATGAAATCAAATTTATAAATAAAGTTTTTTGTTAACTGAATTAATGGTATTTCCGAAGTATGTGAATCAAGTTGGCTAAAAATGGAATGTAGTATGTGTACCAGGTTGGGGATAGGCCATAATTTCAGAAATACTACGGAAGTCACTTGGCTAGTCTACGAACTTGCAATAGAACTAAAATAAGAAAATTGGAATGAAAATATGGCCTAACCCTAACCTGGTACACATACTACGTTCCGATGTCCGCCACCTTTGTTCACATACTTCGGGAGTATCAAATTAATATCATGGATACAAATTTTTTTATCCATATAATAATAAATCGTTCGATCTCAAATTGATTTAAAAAAAAAACTGTAGCAAAAGAAAATGTTTAATTAGCGAGTTAATAAGTTTTAGGCTTGCAACTTTAAATATATATTTGAACGAGACAAAACGTGTTGAAACCAACTTGGCTCTATATCTTAAACTAGTCAATCAGCCACCATACCTTGTTTAGCGTGAAATGTTAGTTGCTATATTTGTGCTGGCCTGCCACGGGTCCCACTTTTGATTAAGGTTATAATTTCAAAAAACAGTGAACTTAAATTATAGTTAAAAGGTTATATGGCAATTGATATGGTGAAATCAGACATCGTGTCAAAAACTAGGTAGTGCTATAAAGTAGTTCGAAATTCGGCTTACACACAACGCCATCTCGTTAATTCGGTGGATTGGTATACAGTGATTTGGTTACTGATACACATGTAACTGAAGCATTTTTGTAACAGACAAAATAATAGTGTTCGGTGGTGTTCTAGTGGGTAACATAGGACTTAACTATAATGGCATCGCAGGCTGATATCTTGCATTCAAATCCAGAGTGTAATAAAAATTATTCCTTCCCACATATAACTGAATAGCAACTTAAATATATATAAATGGTTGCTTGCGCAGAGCAAAGATTTGCAAATACATCGATTAAAAACATAACTCGATATAATATCAAGTCCAATACCAGAAAAATCCTTTTATTTTAAAATTATAAATTTTCATTGACACCAAATAATTGTTTATGTAATTAATTGCCTAAGTTAGTGCATATTATAGCCTTATCTGTAATGACTATGAAAACTTGTTGAAGAATTCTACCAACTAATTCATTAAATATGCAAGAAGATTGTGTATTGTTTTGAAATACTACATGTCATTCAATGTGCTAAAACTTATTTATTGTTAAAGCAAAACTTGAAATAAGTATTAAAATAAAGAAGTTGTCACAACATTGACCTTTCACAGTAATTATATGAAAAATATTAAATAATATATTTGCTTTCAATAATAATTTATTATGTTTTGTATTTTCTAGAATGAAAATCTTCCGTAGGAGCAGTAAAAAAGGAAGCAAAAAGAAAATAAAAGATAAAACTCAGAATAACAATTTAATATCTAGAAAAAGAAGAGGGAATATTTTGAAACGCAAAGTCATAGTTTCCAACGACCTTTACGAGCCTTATCTACCAATCACTGACGAGAAACAAAATTCCAATGTGACATCACAGAGCACATATGATGATGTCATATTCAATGAACCCACTTATGATGACGTTCAAATATATGACGAAATAAACAGTGACGCAATTTATGAAGTGGCTTATTTTGGAAAATTTAGAAGAAGATCGGCAAGCGCGGGGGAAATATCACGTGACATAACGGAAGAAATGTACAACCATTTGTTAAATTTGAATGAGAAACGAAAAAACGATCTTTATGACACGTTACAAAGAGACAATGACGTACCAGAAAATATGTTACGTAAGCGTTCATTGAGAAACAACAATAGCACTTACTATTTGCTATCGCGATCGACCTCCCATGCGATGAATGAAACACTACTTGATTCTGAATTACGTCGTATTAGACGGACTAATGATTTTAATAAGCTAATGGCTTTGTATAATCAAGAAAAGACTGAACGAACTCCAAGACGAGATAGAAAACCTGGAGGCCATCTTGAAATAGTCAAACCATCTATATCAGTAAAAGAAGCTGTGAATAGATTTAAAAATGTTAGCAATTCTGAAGGAACTAAGAAACTAACGAGTGAAGAGTTGCGAAACAGAAGAATAGCGAAAAGGTCAACACCTAGACTAGAAGTGGTTTCCGAGAAGGATAAATCCGACTCCTATAAAAAGATTTCTGATACATCGACACCAAACATTGTTGTAACCCGTGAGGAGAAAAAAGAAGAACAATATGCCAAGCCAGATAAATCCTTCAAAAACGCAGGGAAAACAGACAATTTTTCTGTCATAAAAGTCACAACACCAGTGACAAAATTGACACAAAAAGACGAGTCAAAGCTTAAAACTAAATACGTACCCAAGGGAAAACAATTAAGCAGCGTCAAATCTTTTAACAATGGTACCAACGTGAAAGCGCTGAGTGCCCAATTCAATGAGAATTCGGTTTCTCAGAGTAAATCATTTTCACACAAGAGCACTCTCAATAACAACGACGAGTCTCCTTCATGTGCACAAGATGTCACCAAAGAGCGCAAAAAAGTGAGATTTGCAGGTGAAAAGAAAAACGAACTTTCTGAAAGTTTTCTGTTCAATACTATGAAGACTCGACTGAATTCCGTTAGATGAATTACACTCAACAATGTAAAATGGTTGGCCAGTTTGAATTAAGACTTCAAAGGCTATGTATTGAAGCTAGTACGTATGTACTGGGTGAACTCTTTGTTGGATTTTCAACAAGGAAAAATTCGGTAGCTATGAAAAAAAGCATGGCACGGAAGAAAATGGAGAATATGTAAAAGTGGAACACCGTGGAAAACACTATGCTATGATGTAACGGAGAGACTTGAACATGAACCGTTATGGACGATTTGTATGGGTTGTCGTGCGACTGTTAACTATACAACTGTCGACAAAACATCAGACATTTAGCGACGATTGCCACAATCTTGATTAACTTTTTTGTTTATAAGCCATTTTGTTCAATATATTTTATGTTGAAAAACGTCAGATCATTCCTAATATGTATTCTAAGCATTTCAGAAATAACAAAATTTTTCGAAAATTATCACACAGCTCTCACAAATATTTAACTACATTCTTGTACGCAACGCCCTGGCAAATGTGATATAAAGAGTTTAGTGTTTAAGTATGTCTGAGTAGCTGTTAATGAACGTTGATGCGCTAAATCCTTATCCGGTATACTTTATACATTCTATCAAGATATGAATTTAGGTCATCTTTATTTGTCTGTAATTTTACCAATTGGAGAGTCTTGGGCTTCGAAACAAACAAAAAAAAAACATAACAAAACACACAACAGCAATTTTATGTATTCACTTTTCAATTTTATTCACAGTATTGCATTTTGATTGCATAAAGTTCAATATGATATAAAATTAAGATCAAATAAGAAAATTTGAAATAAATTATTGAACACTGTCGGAAAATAAGGAGCAGATTTAAGGACGATTTATCATAATATTTTTTATAAATATCGTACAGAAGAATACGTTCGGAAAACATTGCAATGACATAGATAAAGGAGGCTATCACTATAGTAGCATAGGTGGCGAGATCATGCCCAGATGGAATAAAGGACATTTTTATATATTCCTCAATATAAAAAAGTAGATACATGAGGGTTTGTTTTTACGACGCTTTTTATTTTATAATAACTTAAATAAAACTTTCAGTTTTTCTACCCCTTCATTAAAATATTGCACAGCACCTATTTCTACTCACGAAACTATTCGTCCAGTTCTCATAGCTTTTCCAGTCAATCCTCGAGATGCCAAACTTAGCAATTGTGAAGACTTGGGAATTGTAGATAATTATTTTGTTTAAACATTGGGAGATAATGAGCGTGGGGTACGAATGAAATAAACGGACATGCCCAGACGAATACGTGGGCCTCTATGTCAACCGTTGCATCAACGTGAAATTATCTTGTTTGCATATTATAGTACATAATCGAGTTTTATTAAAGTCAGGAGGTTTTCGAGTTTGAGTATTTTGAAATATTTTAATTAAGTTGAACGATGGTATAATCAATAATTTGGGCATTCCGTAGTATATGTTCCAGGTTAGAGTTAGACCATAATTTGTTCCGATTTTGCTTAAGCTTTCCATTTAACTGGGAATATTTTAGTTCTGTTACGAGTTCGAGGACTGTTACTGTTAGCTGTCAGTGAATATACCCTATGCCCAAAGACTTTAGTCCCTTTATACAACTTGATGTAAAATAGGCGAACAAAATAACTTACCTCCATATTGGTACACACACTTCTGGAGCGCCATAATTTGCAGTGATAGTAAAAACGTATTATTTATATTACTATCTGGATATAATATGGAAAATTTATATTAATTCCTTATTTTATAAATTTCAATTTATAGCTTTTCACTCTTACGCCGCTCGCTTTTAGGCACTACTTTGGCGTAAGAAACTGCAAGGGCGCGCTGGCTCTGTTGTGAGCAGGAGGAATCTTTATCAGAAGGTTCTATTGTCAAAGTAGGAGTGTCTACGCCCTCCAGTGGCCTTGGAAGTTCGCCATTTTCGTTATTTTCGAGACCAATAGATTCACTGGATTCGTAGACTGTATCGTATATATTTGGCTCACAGTCACTTGTAGTCTGTTGTTGATTAAATGATAACGACTCGTTGCCGTCATCTGATTGGTTGTTATTTGGATAAACGCCATTTGATTGGCTCGCGTCTACATCGGTGGTTGGTTCAGTATGGAATTCAGAAACATTTTCGTACTCTGATTGGTTGTTGTCCCTCTTTGTGGATGACTGTCTGTTATTTGTTTGCTGATTTCGATAGATGAATAAGTTATCGTACTCTGGGCATGGCTGATTGTTATTTGTGATTTTTGGTTGACCATCTAGGGGAGCCACCTCGCAATATATAGTATCTGTTACATTACCATTTGAGTGAAGAGATTCGTACGTATTAGATTGTTCATACTGATGTGGTTGATAAAGTACGTCGTAATCAGGCGGTGGTTCGGTATGAAGAGGGCGTGCCGATGGTGTGCCTCGGTGTCTAGTTGGAAATATATCTTCTCCACGACGAGGTTGAGATCTGATCACACAGATAAAATTAAAGAACAATTGAGATCAATAAAATGGGCACGACGATCCGACCTTGCCCTAGATCAAAGCAAGGTCACGAACACTCGCTCATAAGTATAAACAAAAGAGCAATGCTAAGATATAAAGACCCGAACTAACTTACCTAACTAATCTACAATACTTTGCCAGTATCGAAAATCTTCCGACTTTTGCGTAGCACTAGTTAGCGAAATCAAATGGGAAGACAGCCGTCACGCTTGGTGGAATAAAAACCATATTCCCATAAATGCAAATTGAATAGCAAAATTTTGGGTGGAATATCAAATGGGATATTACAAAGATTAAGAACAAATAAAACAAATAGCATTCTAAAGACAACAATAATCTTTAACCACTGAAGCGATTTTTTCATAAAAGAAAAATACTACCAAGAAAATTAAGACGAAAACGAACAACATAATAATAATAATAACAAAACCATCCATATGTCCATTTCATGTCCAAAAATTGATATTTACTGAAGTTACGGACAACTTCTTATATGCTAATAGCTACTGAAGATTTATAGATTCATATCGAACTGGTTTTACGCGTTATCAAATACCGATTGACGCATGAATTGAAAAAGCTTGAACTTTAATTTTACTTACTGTAAATTATTTCCTTAGAGACAAAAACTTTTGACATTGAAATTTTCAATTGCCAAGCTGGTATACTAAAACTTAACGGATGAGAATTTTTGTTCATCGTATGGCCTATGAAATCATACCTTTTACGGAGCATAATGATGAGAACAGCAAGTCCGATGCCAATCAAAACTGCAAAAAGCACAGCCAGTCCCACGACCATTATCGTGTTTCCGTCACTTTGTCCGATTGGGACTTTTGCGGTTGATGCTAAGTCATAATATGAGAGGTAATAATATTATCTAGTATTTTATTTTATTCCAGTTTCTCATAGAAACGATCACAATAAGCGTAGTTATGATCTATTTACAATAGGTATAGAGACGAATCGAATATTTTCTTTATATCGTGATTTGAGTAGTATATGAGCCCACATTTTCATACAAGATGGCTATATAGCAGCTCAATATTTATTTATGGAGAAGCCCATTCAAATGGCAATTTTGACCATATATCTATCCTTATTCCTAATCGTCTATATAGAAGCTGTATACGTCGTCTACGGGGCAGACCATTTAAATGACGAATGGAACAATGTATCTATGCCTATTTATAACCTAGTGAGTATATGGCAGCCAAGTAGACCTCTAAGGCAGACGCATTGAACTGGCGATTGTAATTCTTTGACAGTGAATTTACAAAACGAGTTTCATTTTAAAATGCGTGATAACACGAACTACATGATGATATTGCGAAATATTTTCGAGGAATAAACCACTTTCACTTCGAGGTAGAGAAAAACAACTGTTTGCTCAGTGATTAAATGCTTACCTATTCCATGTGGCGTCGTCTGATAACTGTCCGTTTCGTAAGAAATTGTTGTTGATTCGATAAACACTTCTGTCTGCTGCGTGGTCGAGTCTGTAACGATATTAAGCAAATAAATTACAATAAAAAGTGATATAGTTATTTATGTAATATCAGAAATTGATATTAATATCATTAAACATTGTACCAAATCAATTGGTAGGGGAACTAGGCTGTAATTCATTATCAAGATATCATATTTCTGGTGTTTGACTTTATTAGAATGTACATGAGCAATATGTATTAGCACAGGGGAAAACCAGGAGACCAAGTGACGTGAGTTTTTAACGTTTTATTTTACATCGTGGTGGATGAAGGATGAATGCTTTATTATCTCGATTAAGAGCAAAGGTAAAAACATGTTTTACTGTAAAGAATGCGTCAAATCAATTGGCCGAAAGAGAGATTTATTCATATACCTAATAATAGTAAGTACATGTAAACAATGTGTCCCAATGTTTAAGTAGTGTATCGTTCGCTTTACCGGTGCATGTTCTCAACCCACATGTTTGCATATTGTTGGCTGTTAATCACTTATTTTACAGCAATATAACAAGAAAAATACGGAATATTGAAGGTTATTTTCGAGCAAATTTGAAAAAAAATTTACCGCTTGAGAAGCGCCCAGAAAAGCTGATAATATTACTAAAAATTAAACTAATCATTTGACTTCACTCCTAACATAAATGTGAAAGTCTTTTTATGTCAAAATTTCACAGGATTTGATGTGATTCAATTTCTATTACCATGTTGAATTTGAAAATGAAAATTTTAGAAAAATGCGAGACAGATCTCGAATGGAAAAATCTATTTAAATTGATAATTAAAATGATAAGAGTGTATGATACTAGATTGGAAGTTAATTGGTAGAGCCCAGCAAAATTAGATTTTGAGAAAAATCGAAATAAATATTTTTTCAATTTTTTTAATAAGGTATTTTTCAAGACACTCGTACTCGACAAAATTTTGAACCTTCATTCAATTTAGTTTTTTTATTTATATAAATATTTTTATTTTTCACCAAAGTTATAAAAAACGATTAAAAACAGCACCACCAATTAGACAAAGAAACAAATCGAAGCAAGAATTATACCCTTAAAACTGTTGTAACTGTATTGCTAGCAGAGTGGCATCATAGAATTGCTTCACCTGCACAATTTCCGATAGACAGTTTATTGTTAGAAATACATGTTATATTTACCTAAAATAGTTGATGTCGGGCTGTCACTCGTGACTGTTTCGTAACGAGTTGTTTGTTTTGTTGTTACATCAACTTGCATCGTAGTAGACTCTGCAAAATATGACCATGTTTAGAGCATGTATACATATGACAACGTTGAGCAACAAATAAAATTGTAAAAATATAATGCTCCTGATGCATTCAGTGGAGGAACGCTGGAAAATAATTTTACTTTTCTTGCAACCAGGGTTTTCTGTTTATCCGCGTGAACTCTAAAAATAAATAAACTACCGAACTATGTGTAAAATAATTAATTCGGCTTACTCCCTGTTTCATTATGTTATAACTTTTTTCTGAGGTTTTTACGTTATATTCAAATAGTATACCTGATGTATCGATGTTAATGAAGTTATAAAGCATAAAAAATCCTTTTTCTTCGCCATCAACATTTGCTTCCGTTTGAAATGTAACTTGTAGGGGCGAACCTCCTATGACTCCAAGCGTGCAGTCTGGATGCATGTTACTGTGAACCAAACTTGAGACTGAAGAACTACGATAAGAATAGCAGCTTGGAGTCTCAGATTCGCAGTTCACCTCATCTAAAATTAAAATATATATAGATAGTGAGTTTTGTGAGATTCATATTAACCTAAATACAAATTTTGATAATTTTGTATTCAGTAAGTATTTCAATTAATTCATGTTATCCGCCATTTTGAACCCCATCGAAATGATGGAAAACTAGAATATGTAGATTGTATTGAATGTAGACTAACCACCTGTTGCAAGTTAAGTCATACTCACCGCCTTGCATTGTTAGTTTTCCCGTGCACACTTTATTATTGAACAGACTCCCATAAAATAGTCGAATGTCCGTGATATTGAAAAGCAATACAATTTCTCCGTTTTCGGGTTTGTGGAAATCCCAAATGTAAGTTTGACTCGGAGGATAAGGGCCAGGATAGTTAGGTGAACTAATGTTTCCAGAGCCAGACAGGTATTCCATGCGTTCTAAAAAGAGGAAAAGGATAAAATACATGGAAACAATAGATAAATTACAACATCGTTTCACAGTGCTTCAAATTCGATATTTTTTAATTCAAATGTGTATTAGTAACTATCTATATGCAAAAGTCTTTCGGACACCATATGGGTCTGTATTGAAGTTCAGTCTTGTGTTTTGATTTCTATTGGCTGCTTGTATTCGCATGCCAACACTGCGTCGTACTGGTCTATGCAAACAGTTTTGAAGTAACTAGTTTTGTAATTTAGAAAGGACTTTTGGGACCGGATCAAGCTTGATCCCGGGAGCAGAAAATAATGATTTTGTGCCACAATTCGTTTTTTTAGTATTTCATTATTCATTATCTCACAGCCGTTTTACTGGTCGCATTGACCAGTGCTGAGATTTAAGTCTCAGGTCAGTTGCTATTCAGTAACCCGTGTAATACCAATGCACAATTCTATATAATGTCAGTAGCCGTTCATTGTTTGCTGTAACTTTGCTCAAAGATCATCCTCCCTGCTTCTGAGTAAGGAAACTTGAAATAGCTAATTTTCTAATGATATATATACATGTAAATCGATTCATAGATCTAGGCCTACTAGCCGCGAGTTTTTAAAACACACAGCACATGTAGCTCAATATTCTAAACGTTATAAAAAGGAAAAAGGGACCAATTGCAACCATTACCAAGTAACATCATACCTGTAATACAGTCGACGTAAAGAAACGTCATATTGAACCCAGTTGCGGTTCCATCTCCAATATCCCCATCGGAAGTAAATATAACCTCTAATGGCGAGTTAAGTTTGACCTTGTTTTGACAGCTTGAAAAGTCAGCGTTGTGTTTTGTTGAACATAAACCACTACTTCGATAAGTAGAGCAAGAAGGAGCTCCTGATTCGCAGTTGACGGTATCTGTGAAAAATCGTAGAGCTGGTTTAGTTGTGGTACACCATAACATTGAGATTAAAACTGAACGATCTTGTGCTATCAGATAAAAATCTAAAGTTAGAATTTAATGCCGACTATCTCGGTCAAGATGTATATTGGGATAGGCGATGCCAAATGTTTGCGGTCATTCGAAAATTACAGTTGCTCCTTCTAGGGAAGTGACTGGTTGTACAAAGATTTGTTCGAAGCGAAAGGCGTATAAAGTTTTGCATAAAATAGGTTAATTATTAATATTTATTTTCTTTGTGTTAGTATGTTTAGGTTTTCGTAAAGCCGATATTTCCATTATATGTCATATTCTTTTACTCGCGTTTCTCATATGAGCTAATAGTCTCAGCGAACGTGGAGTGATATTATTGAATCGATTATTTTTGAATATTGTTTGTTTCATATTGGGAAAGTGAAAACGGATATATATTGCTTTCCCAGCTTTCAGTCGTCGCCATAAATCAGAAATATATAAAAATAAAAACGACTATGTACGTATTATATTTTTATAAATATATCTAAGAGTAAACAGACAGATAAATACTCACCTTTTTGGATTTGAAGACTTGCAGTACAAGTTTTGGGATCAAAAATGCCTCCTCCTCCTTGAAACAAATGAATGTCCACAATTTCGAAAACAATCATAAAATCACTATCCAGAGGCTCTAGAAATTGCCAAACGCAAGTCTGGTTTGCTGAGTAAGGAGTTGGGTAGTTGGGCGAGCTAATCGATCCCGATCCCGCTGAGTAAACATTCGGCTTCCCTTCTTCACATTGTGAGTTGACAGTCGGTACTGGAATGATAAAATATAAGGTATTAAGTAGATGCAATGTAACGACTCACTTATTTTACATATAACGCAATTTTATTTTAATGTCAACTAACAATACTTTCTGTAATTATTTGTAGCTATTTTCTGAGTCATCCTGTCGTGATGAAATTCTGATCGGCTAACAGGCTTTAATTACAATCTGGCTCGACTTTTCTGCAGGCTGTATTCCAATGAATGGGATAGTATATATCACAAACGAATAGTATGAAAAACAAAAGTACAAAAGGATGAAATTCATTGCCAGCTACAGTCAGAACTATACTCTCCTGCATAATACGTAACTGTATCTGTGAGTAATAAGTAATATGCTCGATACAGCAGATTTTTATTTCAGCGCAAATTCCAAATGAAGACTAATTAACAGATATTTTTGGTAATTGTAATTTGTCTGTCTATGGTGTATTACAACTAAATTCATATAAAAACATGAGCACAGCATTGAAGCACAACGATGAAGGATATGTATCCTCGCTTTAATGCACAGTCAAAGTCGCTATTTATCAATTGGTATTCCCTAGCTCACATGATATCATATTATGCAATAAGCTATGCAAACAATAAAGGCTATTAGTAATAATTCTTTACCCGGGTAGGCACTACAAATAAAAATAAAAATTAAGCTTACCTTCAACTAAGAGTATCAAACTTGTAATCCATATTGCACTTTTCCAATACGCGTTCATATCTATTCCTAAATATATAAATTCTGAATATATGTAAATAGAATCCATGAAAGACATTGCACCATTGAAATTTCTTTGATCAATTAATAGAGCTTTTCCTAAGTGAAATCAATTTCTAGGGGAACCCAACTTGACATCGAGTAGCAGCATGTTTCAATTATTCAGACCCTTACGATATGAATAATCACCAGGAATTACGGAAATTATCTCATCTTAATATTTAATACTCTCTCAGGCATACAATGTAGGAATAGGAACGGTAATTCATAATTAATTAAACAAACTTACGATATGTTGGTATTGTTTATGGCAAAATTATTCACGTAATCGCGGATAGGTTATAGTTTTTTCATCACTATAGTGCAAGCCTTGGTTTAACTATCCAAGTTTAACTAGTTATCATTTGTCCTATTATTAAACAGTCCTATCGGCTTTCCTTTGTTTGACAAAATAACAAGAATAAGTATCCGACAAGCATGAGCTTCGTGAGTCGAGTTCTTTATTCCAAACCACAGCTTTTATTACGAAGATCACACCTATCGGCAAAAATTACGAAACCATTTCATTAATGTAACTATCATTAGGTGTTGGAGCGACTGAAGGTATTGGCTTTATTCAGGACAGATTTTTCAAAACTTGAAATAAAAAAATATAAGATACTAAATGACAGAAAAAAAAGTTTTTTTTTAAAAAAAAAACATATACTGTCAAACATAATGAATAGTATCTATAGTTGACTAGACTTTTTAAGAATTCCATACAATTACCGACTCAATCTTCAACAATGAGAGAAGAAGTTCATTCCTTCTATGGGTATGTATACCAGAGCAAGAACGAAAACCACTACCTTCTAACATATACCACATATTCAAGACATAAAATATGCTAAAATTATTTTAAAATTTCTTTGTACTAAAACCGAATTTATCCTTTAACTAACTATTGCGTGTTTTATGATGTTAGATGGACCTCTTGATATACCCAAGTACAAAACGCTACGGTTCGAACCAATATCCATTAATCGTGTAAACTGACTTCCACTGAGTCCAGACAATCAGATTATGATGTTTAAACTCGTAATCCAGCTTAAGTAACCCAGAGACATTGCCTTTTGAATAATTCAGGAAATTACGATTTAAACGGTGAGAATTGGGGTCAAGAATTATTCTAAGCTATGAAATGGATTAACTCTCGATTTGGTTTCTATTTGTTCACGCGCACATTCTATTTTCGTCTGAAATAAACATAAATGCCAAAGTCTAAACTTCATCGTTGTTTATTTACTTTTAATTTTTGTAATTTTTTTGCAAGTTTGCTCATATTTTACCTAAAATGTGGAACATTATTGAGCGAAATGACGAAATGAGGAGTAGGAGAGCTGAAAAAAAAACGAATGAGAAATAGCAAATCATGAATTTCCGAGATAAATAAATTCTATAGTTCCTGAGGATAATAATAAACATTAGATTTTATTAATAATATTGTGTTTGTAGGGAGATTTGGGCAAATGTAGAGGTTACCACAGAAAGAAAAGAAAGCTACAAGCAAATCCTTTCTTAACTAAATTACGTAAAACATACACTGCTCTCATGGGATAAAAGGGTATTCAAAGGTTACTTAGTGGGGATATCATTCGATTTGAGAAATAATGTTGATTTGACGACTAGATTTGGGATAAGGTAAAATTACAGTTAACCACAAGAGAAAAGAAAAATGGCACGAAAATTCACGCTAAACTCAAATACACAAAGACAAACACTGCCGGATAAAAGGTTTTTCAAAGTCTACCTAATTCAGACACTCACTCAATTTAGGAAGCATAAGTATTTTTGAAATAAATGTAGACTTTTATAACTGTCAAACTACCGATGTTTCCTGCGTCATTTATCCATAATTTACAACGTCTGAACGAACAGACGTGAATATTAGATTAATTGTCTGCTTCTTGTCCTAAATTTAGAAAATAGTCCGCGCTCTACTTGTATTTATCTCAAAGTTAAACACTTTACCATTTTAAAGCAATCGAGAATTTTTCAGAAACGCCCCCTGCCATAATACGTTATTACACAGCTGATTATGAGATGCAATAGCCTACTGCTGACATGATCAATTGCTACCAGAATTATAAAACAGACATGTTTTTTCAAAGAGATAAAAAACTTGGTTCCGGTTTCAAAGCATTTTTTGAAAATTTTCACATTTTTAATTGTTTTGTAATTAAATGCGGTTAGTTGTGCAAGTTAAAAATAATTTGAAAAAATAATTTCAATATTAATTCAAAATTTGAAAAACGAACTATATTTTGATTAAATCAAGAAATATAAGGTCATCCGCACTTTTAATTTTTAACACATTGAAGAATCAGTTTACTTAGAAATAAAACTACATAAATTTCTTAATCATTTCTACGAAAGATAAATTGTTTTCCTTTCTGTTTATGTAAGATTGTACACAAAGATTTCAGTAAGCTATGACGCTTTGCACAAAAGTTATGTTCTCTCTAGAATATGTTCCTGATGACCTGACTTCATTTTATGGGGGGTCTTGGGTTTGTGTATATATGCTTGATCATACAAAATAATATCACATGCTGGATTTACAAATGGTGACCAACAGAAAAAGCATAATTTAACGCATAAAACGCAATGGAGATCCAAGTCACAATTTTTAGCTTTTGCTTGCAAAAAAAAATTAACTTTTGTCCAGAAAAATATTGTAAATTCGAAATTTGCACAATATCTTTGCTTGAAATATCAATCAAATCTAGTAACTCTTTGATATACTTTGCTCACTGTCCCATCTAGGATTTTCAAATATCTTCACGAAGCTTCTCATTGGCAAAGAATTCTGACTGCCATTCTTGCATTGCAGTTTACCCCCACTGCTACCCAACCCCCAAATAACTTCTAGAAAATTAGACTTGCTTTACTCACTTGCTAAGACTATGAGCTGACTGGCTGATTTCTAATTTTCTTGGGCGAAGTATATTCAGATTACAGGTCATGTGCTCAAAACCGTGCATGGCACAAACTGTTCAAAATTTCAAAGTGAACACAAAGTCTGAAATTCTCATTTAAGACTATGTTGAACATAGACTAGTTATCCTAGATGTTATGCAGAAAAAATAAAAATAAATTGTTTTCATAAAGATAGACACTTCCACATTAATATAATTAGCAAAAACAGCATAATATCCATAGCTACTACAATCAAAGTTAAACTAATTTATAAATACCTCAAGCAAATTTTAATAGGTTTGTGTGTGGCTCACTTGAAAATGTTTCTGTGGCTCACTGGCTGAATACCGCTGTCCTAGATGAGTATACGGTTATACCAAATGGCATTTCATGAAATTATCTAGAAAATCTCAAATCAAACCTGGGTCTGAATCCAAACTGCGCGAGAAAGAACAACCTGGATTACTGCATAGTATTGTCATCCTCAATCTGAAATAAACCGCTCTTCAACCAAACATAGTGGTTTAGCAACATATGTTGGGCTATTAATTAACGAATATACACCTTGCTGAACTAATTCGGTATTTTATCTTTGTTTGATTACCTGATATACTGCGACGCGATCTGCAGGGGGAAATTTTTAATAAATGCGGGCCATAGACGAATAAATAAAGGCTGGAGACGGCAAGGAAGAGGCGATGTATTCGGTATAGATTAAATACGTGCCAGCTATGGATAGAGTATCTACAATATATACGCATAAACAAGAAAATTTTAATGGATTTGAATCTTCCAGCACGTACCAGAGACAAATTAGGTCTTGACGGCGCTGGCGCGCACACATACATATATATATATATATATACACGATCGGGTAAGGGCCAATCAATATGAATTGAACTCAAGAATATACACATTAAAATAATAAAAAAAAATTATCGGAGATAGATTGTTAAGCTCGTACCAAAGATGAGTAGCATTTTATTGACGCCGGTGCATATGTATATCTTATACGTATATGGATATATAGGAGAGCCAACCTAGCTGATTTCAACTCGTGACGATACCCCGGTTAGACAATATTTACTTAGTGCTATCGCATTGAAGAATTTACTTGTAGTCTTAAAATAGCTCTGATAAATTACATACTGAGCAGCGTAAGGGCCACGAATAAAAACTGTCTCGAAGTATTCGATCACCCTTCACCCATCTGCATTATCGTCCGTTAAATGACGATATCCAGATGCATTTTGCTACCCAGTGTCAACTAATGGCCTATTTTGATTGACCCAGGCAATGCGCTGGCCAGGCCTAAAATTTGTAAGAATGTAGTGTATATATAATAGGTGGTATATTTAGTATAGTTATATTTGTGATATAATGAATATAGGGCCCCATTATATTCACGCTAAATTCATTACTATCACGTATTATATTGGCACTTCATGTTTGAGTTCCGGGGTGCAAACCCCGTACACAGCCTAACATCTATTCAACTCATATAAATATTGACGAAAAACAATGGCACGTCAGGATATCAAACGTTTCAGGTTCGTACCATGCGTCATGAAGAAACCAACTTGCATGCTTTAATTGAATTGTTTAAGTTAATATTTTAATTCTTCCCATATTTGCAGACTAGTCGAACTTACGACTAAATATGAATTATAAATATCAGGTTGTAATATTTCAGTTCCTCTTCATTCCAGGAAAAAAAATTGGTTTGTTTCGTGTTATGGATTGAATTCCGATTTTCTTTGACTGTCATCACGATTATGTTTACACAAGAAGCAGACGATTTCAAAATCTCTGGCAAACAATTTAAATCACATAAAAGGCTTCATCGGATCTGGCGTGGTTGGATTGAATCACGCTTATCGGGGTCACACAGGGTCATGCTTATAAAATAATGTGATTTGATCAATGGCAATATTTAGATGAACATTAGCTCTCGAGTGTCGACTAGTGGTAGAAAATTTATTCTGATTGTCGCGAGCTATTTCCGTAACAAATATTAACTTATTGCGTTCCAGTAATTGAGTGTCTGCACT